GTACTTGACCAAGGCTCTTGGCAACAAGAATGTTCTTGCATGGAGAGACATCCTTCGACACAACGGCTTCAAGGACGATCAGCTTTGGGCGGATCTGAGAGATGGTTTTCGCCTCACCGGATGGATGAGGGATACTGGGATCTTTGACAAAAAGTTGCGACCTCCCGAGACCACCCTTGAAAGGCTGCTTGAACAATCCAGCTACCGTACTCCTCTCATTTTGAACAAGTTGAGGAAAACGGTGGTGGATGACACCACTCGCAAGGCTTGGGCGGAGACGCTTGAGGAGGAGAAGAAGGGATGGATCTTCCGAGAGGCGATGGCTACCGATAAACCGATGGTCATCGCTCATCGGTTTGGTTTGGAGCAAAAGGGCAAGGTCAGGGTCATCGACAACGGCAAGGAATGTGGGCTCAACTTGGCTTGCGGTTTGCCAGAAAAATTCACCTTGCACGGGGTGGACGTGCTGGCTGGAGTCTTCGTCGAGCTGCTCAACAGGCCGCTGGCCAGGGGCTTGCGAATCAAGGGGAGGACCATTGACTTGGTTTCAGCATACAAGTTTTACCCTATACACCCTGAAGACAGACGGCACCTCCGTATTGGGGTATTCGACACCGATTCCAACGTTGTTCGATTGTACGGTACCAACGTCTTGCCTTTTGGTGCTACAGGAAGTGTTGCTGGATTCCTGAGGGTATCGGCTGCCCTGTGGCACACAGGGGTACGTGACATGGGGCTTGGCTGGTGTGCCTACTTTGACGATTTCCCTCTGCTGGCAGTCGAAGGTCATGAGGCCCAGGTGGACAGGCTTGCTGGTGAGGTCTTCGACGCTTTGGACGTGGAATACGCCAAGGAGGGGAAGAAGGCTACATCGTTTGGGGAAACCTTCAATGCCCTGGGCCTTTCTTTTGACTTGACCCGTTTCCATGCTGGAGTGGTGACGCTGCGCCATACCGAGGCGAGGACTGCTGAATTGTTGGAGACTCTTGATGAGATCCTTCAGGAGCGCAGGCTTCGCCCCAAGGACGCCGAGGTGCTTCGCGGCCGAATGCATTGGTACACGTCTTATCTATTCGGCAGAGCCCCATGTGAAGCGATGCACCAGATCTCGCTGCGCGCTCAGGGCCACGACGCTTGTGTCTCTTTAACGAAAGAACTCGAGGAGGCCTTGGTTACTATGAGGTTTTTCTTGTCGGATCCGAAACCACTTGAAATTCGTCAAACCACGGGTCGGGAGATGTTCGTCTTCACAGATGGTTCGTACGAGCCCAACGGGGACGTCAAGGCTGGGATCGGTGGGGTGCTGTATGACGACACGGGCACCCCTTTGGCCTTCTTCAGCTCAGACGTATCGGCTTCGGACCTGTCTATCTTGGAAGATCAATCAGACCACCCAATTTATGAGGTGGAGCTTTATGCGGCTGTGGTCGCGTTTGAGCTCTGGGGGCACTTGATCCAGGATAGCTTCACTGTCTTCTTCTTGGACAATGAGGCTGCACAGTCGGCGCTCATTGCTGGAAAGTCTGGCACATCAAACGGGCGAGTGCTGGTACAGCGGTTCCTTGATGCCGAGCACCGTTGGAGGGCAAGACCATGGATCGGCAGGGTTCCTACATACTCGAATCCAGCTGATGATCCTAGCCGACGTATTTGCGAGCCGCTTATCAAGCAAGGGGCAAGGCAGATGGATGTTAGTGGCGTTCGATTGCTCTCTCAATGATTTCCGACATGCGCACTTTGCTTGGGGTGAAAACGGGTGCACATGTGTACTCGTGGCTCCTGCCCTTGTGTCATGCCTTGGAGGTGTGACCTCGTGGCGGGGTCCTCAATACTTCGGAAAAAGTTTCTCCTCGACCAACCCCACGGCATTGTGCGACATACCGAATAAAAGACTGCGAGTGTCAAGGTGCCTTCTTGAATGCTGCAAATATTGATGGAGTCATTTTTTCGTGAATAATATATTCGACCAATGCACATATCAATCGATTTTGTTTTGCACGTTTGTGGAACAGGAAATAAGAGTGTCTTCTTCCCCATCGGGTCTAGGGTTTAGGGTTTAGAAATGAAACGGGGCTCACAGGTTTTGGCTCGAAACTGGACAGCCAAACACAATGTTGAATGTTTTGTCAATGGATTCGTGTTGACCTCATCGAATCCTCGTCGCGATGCTGCTTGCAAAGACGATGAGGCCGTAACCGTGCCAGCTCCATGTCATTGGCCCACTGAAGATCGGGTTTTTAAACATCGCGTGTCGCTGTTCGATTGTTCTCCAATACATTGCAATACCACATAAACCACTCGATTGTTTCAAGATTTGGTTGTACTCATGGCGTCCCATGAGGTGAACTTGTCTGACTTTCTGGACAAAGTGTTCTGTGTCGAGTGCTTTACAGTTGACGGTAGGAAACCCAAAGGATTGGGGGTTCAATTTGAGCGATGGTACCTGTTTTCCTTGTTCATGTTGCAAGAAGCCACCAGCACTGTACGCTGCATGTGCCATGGTTCGTCATCTTTCTGCTCGAGATTGCCGTGGTTTGTCCAAGCAAGCATGGGAACCAATCATGTAAATTTCCGTCATGATTGCAAGCCACACAGATTGTTGTCAATCTAAGCATCATGCTGGTTCCTCGGCCCCTGCGGAAGGAGGTGCATGTATGCCAACAACAATCCCCTGACTTGGGGAAGCATCTTTTTGGCGCCAGGAGTTTGATGCATGAGGCTTGGTTGACAAGGCAGGAGCTGCTCCCATGACAAACAGCAGCTGTTGCTAGAGTCGCGATTGTTTTGTCGAGCAGGTTCCCTGCATCCGTTCATGAGCGCGGAATCGCCGAAGGCAACAAGCCGAAACAAAGAGTAGACTATGTGGCTACAGTGTCTGTTCTTGAAGAAGGAGCTGTGAGCGCAGCGTCAACCGTGACATCGATTGGACAGGCGTTTACCGGCCGAGAGCACGTCAATGCCCTTAACTTTGCGTCCACATTGCAATCAGACGATGCCGGCAGGTTCTGATTGGTGTTGTTTGTCGAATCGCAAAATTGTGAGTTTCGAGTTTGTCAGCGTGCAGGCGCTTGTTGCCAGACCGACAGCTCGACTTGGGTCAGCCAGGATGGATGGGTCTGCGGCATGCACCTCGCAATGAAGCATCTCAACTTTTGTGCGTTTTGAGAAGGACTGTTTGCGCGTTGAGAACTTGATAGACGAGCTGCATCCAAGGAATGGGTGATCCTTTTTCAATGTGTACTTTGTCTTCTGCTCTTGGATTTTTTGGCAGGTTCCCAAGTCTTCGTGCTTGTGGTTTCGGTGCAGAAGTGAGAGGTGGTCGCACGCTCCCAGGTGCTGCGGAAAGTGAAGTCCAACGTTCGCAATCATGTGGCGTTGACAGTGGCCCCAATCAATATTGCGTTGCAAGAGAAGAGGGCGCCAGGTGTACTTTACTTGCGGGTGTCATGCTTTCTCGAGAATCAGGAACAGCCGCGTCTGTCACACCATGACCGAAGAGACACACACACACACACACACGTTTTGGATTGAAGGCATCGGTTTGCAGAATGAAGTTTGTAGTGCCTTGCAGATTCAGTTTGCATGAGGTGTTCTGGCTGAGCATCGGCATGCTCTACAATGTGCACATCTGGTGCTCTGCTTGCAATGTAGTTTTTTTAGGGCAGCGGGCATCTGCTTAAGTCTGCTCGTTTGTCGTAGCAGGCGGCAACGAGTGCATACGATGCGGGAACGATACAATGAATGTCGACCACTAAAAATGTGACGGAACGATAAAGCGAGCGTGGGTGAGCGACCCGCAAGCATCTCTACCGGGGCTCGGACGCTGCATGGATTCGACTCCAAGTCACTTGCGGAGAACCTGTGCAAGTACAACGAAGAGCAGTCATTTCCGAAGTGCGTGTCGTTGCAGTCCAAGAGTCCAAGGCTGACAGATCAGCTGTTTCACTGGTACACCTAGGTACTTGTATGGTGCAGATCAGGCAATTTATTGGTTCAGCGGCTTCTCCCTAGAATGGATGTTACTCGTTCTGGATTAGCTTTGCGATGCCACCCTTGTCGACAGCAGAGCATCATCTCCAGCTTGCGACGTGAGGCTTTCCATGGACAATTTGGTGGTGTTCAGCCTCATCATGACGACATATCGCGTGCCGCCATCCTTGACTCGCAAGGCAGAGCAGAGCGACTTTCAGTGTGCAAAAGCTGCGCCTTTCTGATTTCTGACAGGCTCTGTTTGTTGGCATCGTGGGTTGTGTCCTCATGAGGCTTGGCTTTTTTCTGGCAGCTTGGACTGAACAATAGGTGGGTGGGGTTCTTATTGCTGCCCACAGGGGTGGTCGGCGAGCAGTGTTCTTATGTCTGATGCCGCAGCAGGGTTGGTTCAACCTCTCCCGGGGCCCAGCAGCCACAGATCATTTCCCTGTAAATCGTTATAGGCGACAGCTGACAGGAGGTGTTTCAGTCGTGATTGCCGTGACCCAGAGCAAGGTGTCACCTACAAACCGTGCTTCACTGCTTGCCTCCCCAACACGGCACTTGTTTCGTGGATGCCGGGCCTATGCCCATGTCCACTTTTAGATAATTTTTTTGCGGACATGCCTGTTTTCCGGCAGCGTGGAAGAGACTGAGATTCTGGAAGACGTGCTCAAACACGAGAAGGTCCTGCAAGTTGGCATGGGCATAGTGCCGCGCGGCTGCAATCTTTGGAGTCGGCTGATCCACCTTTCTCCCGACCCAGCAAGCGGCTGTCGGACACAACACTAGCAGCTGGACTTGCAAATTTAGGTTCGACAGTCAGCATGTTCGCGTGCAGGCCGATGGTAATGTCGTCCCAGTTGCACAGAACACTGAAACTTTCAAAATAACACGGCAATAATTTTCCATAGTTTAACCCGAGAGAAAAATCTCCCGCTGCATGAGGCTAATGGCCAGCGGAGGCAATGCCATGTTCGAGGAAGATAATGAAGGCGTGTTTCTCTACAATTCGTCTTTTCTATCAGCTGCGAATGTCATCGGGTACAACATGCAATGAGTAGGTGACATGGTGGACACCTACGTGGTGCGAGCAACGAAGGCAAACAAGTGGAGTGGAGTGCATTTGGTCGGAAAGTCATGTTTCTGGTCTCATCCGGCGAGGCCTGTCTTGGGAATAGGTTGGAAGAGAGTTACGACACCGAGAATCACAGGCAGATGGGCGACTGGTTGCAGGAAGTTTTCCATGATTTCACGCAGCACCCTCCGCATTCCTCCGCATTCCTTGTGCCTGCAGCAACTTAGTGCAGCTTCGCAATCATAGCAGTCTAAGCAGCAGCTGCAGCACATCTCTGCAGAGATCGCCACATCAATGATGCTGGCGGCACAGTGTGAAGATCCGAGACTCAGAACTCCCGAGCTGCTGGTAAAGTACTGGAGATCCGAAGCAGCAGCTTGTTTTGGAAACCAAAGGCTTGATCTTGACCTTTTGTTCCCAGATAGTAGGTAGCCGCTGACCCGGTGGCTTGAACTGTGCAGGCTTTTCGTATATCGAGATGGCAAATACAAAGCCACTTTGTATCTCGGCTTGCGGAATTTGCAGTGTCGAAGCTCGACGAGGCTTGCATAGATGAGAGGCAGAGTCTGAGGTGCTACGGAAGTCTGTGTTAATCATGCGATCCAATGATGGCGCTGCACTAAACCATTGACACTGCACTTATCAACAGACGCTGTGAGAAGGTTGGTCTTTGTCATCATACTCTTGGAGTTCACTGATTTGATGTTTGCACTTGACAGTGTCAGTGCAAAAATTGCAGCAGTGCCATATCTGCAACATCAGCAAGCTGTGGTGCGTGTCCTCGCTCGCCCGGCTGCAGCATGAACGCGGCTGGCCCCAACCGATAGGCTGAAGCCCAAAGCAATCAACAACTGAGTCTTCATGGTGCATTGTCTTGAAGTTCTTAGTCCTCTCGTTTCGAACACCAAATTCCATCACAAATCCTGGGGGCAACTCACAGCTTGCCATCTAGCTCAGGTGCCGAATCAGTTCATTGCCTACAGCTCTACTGTCATGGCAGTCTTCTCTCTTCGTGCCGCATTCTTCCTCGTGCATGACCTCGTGCAGCAAGTCGAGGACCGGCAAGAAGTCTAGCTTATCTAGCACTATGGCAAAGACAAAACTACGTGCTCCAATCGCATGTGTTCAGGCGTTGAAGAGTCCCGGCTGCCTTCATCAGTGATGTGCAGTCTTTGCCTGGCCTTGAGACGTGAGATCATTTTGGAGAGGGGGTGGACCGATCTGCAAATCGCTACCTTGGAGTTCAGTCCAATACGAAACCAAACCCGAATCCAGACTATTGAACTCGGTCTCTTGAGTGTCGGCTCTGAGTCTAGACAATTTGTAGGTTGAGCCTTTGTGCCAGCAGCCTTCTTGAGGTATGGAGTAGCTTTCATTGTCGCCTACATCGGCGTCCAGCTGATTCTGTCAACCTTTCGATACGTTCCAGAATGGAGCACGTGCGTGGTGTCGATGCTCGTTTCTTGATCAATATTGGGCGTCTGCCTAAATCCTCACAAGCCCCTTATACATCCTAATCAAACTCTATTGACGCGGATTGAGAGCCTTTCACAATCCGGCTTCTACTTTGCCAGGCTCTCCTGCTGTTTTGATATGCTTTGACTCTGTCGAGTGACGGCCAGGTTGTGCTGACTTGCCTCGTGGCGCCCTGGTGAATACAAGTAGCGTTGGGTCAGAAATCTCTACTGGTGAAGATGTGTCTCAGACTCAGGCTCGATGCTTGCAGAGCAGGCCCAAATCAGCAGGCCTTCGTTCTGTTCTGCGATCTCCAGTGGCTGTCACATGACCCTACATGGCTATGTGCCCTGTCTGGCAGGACTTCCAGATAAAACCCGATGATGGCCCTCGCACTTGTCGGCTCGTTTGTGGAACTGAAGTGCTTGATCTGTATCAAAAAGAATCTGGACTGTTTGAGTTGAAGCGGCTTCCTCTGTTCATGCACCGAGCTTTTTCTTCTTCTTCTTCTTGGACAGCTTGCTCAGGTGTGGCTCGAAGCTTAGTGAGATGGTCAGGTGAAGCATCGGTCTGAAGCTACATGATGGAGAGCTCCAGACCACAGGACTAGGCTTTTGTTGAAGAAGGCTTTCGTTTACCGGCTTGCCTCTTGCCTTGGTTTTGCCTTGCTTGAAGTTTGTTTTTATCTGCCATGGACTTGGAAGATGAAGGCGATCCCGGGCTGGCGGGACTCAGCCCTGAATTTCAAGCCATGCTTGGCGGCTTATCCGGGCACATGGCCTCCGTCTCAAAGATGCTCGATCAGCGCACCCTGCCAAAGGAGCAGGCAAAGGATAAAGACGATGAGGCGTACCTAGACTCGTATGCGGATTTGGCCATCCATGAGGAGATGCTAAAAGACACTGTGCGTGTTGACGCATACGCAGCTGCAATCGAGCACTATTCGAGCACGTGGCAGGATAAGGTCGTGGTCGACGTTGGTGCTGGGACTGGGCTGCTCTCGGTCCTTTGTGCTCGATCAGGCGCTCGAAGGGTCATTGCCATCGAAGCATCCGGGCTCGCACACTTCTTGCAGCAGCTGGTGGATGCCAACTGTTCAAAGGGAGCCGTCGAGGTTCACGAGTGCCTTGCAGAGGATTTCAGTGAGCAAAATGTTGATGTGATTGTGAGTGAGTGGATGGGGTACTGCCTGCTCTACGAGAACATGCTGCCGTCGGTCCTATCTGTTCGAGATCGATGTCTAAGAAAAGGTGGCCAGATGCTGCCCTCGAAGTGCCGCTTAATGATGGCACCGATTCAGGACAGCTGGCGAAAGGAGAAGCTGGACTTCTGGCACTCCGTCCGTGGAATCGACATGTCCTCACTGGTTCCGCTGGCCACTGCCACTCTTTGCGCAGCACCTCAACATCGCTTGTTGGATCCCAAAGCGCTTTTGGGAGATGCAATCGAGATCCTCTTCATGGATTTGCATACGGTGCAGATTGAGGAGTTGGACAGGTTTCAAGCAGACATCGGATTCACTCTCCCGGCAGGCAGTCGACTGGACGGTATGGTGGCATGGTTTGAATGCGAGTTTGGAGACGTCGGGTGGCAGCTTTCTACCTCCCCGTTGAAACCTGCAACACACTGGAAGCAGACTGTCTTCTATTTCCGGGATCCAGTTGAAGGTGGCGGTGGTGCCGTCATCTCAGGCAAGATAATGCTCGAGCGTCATGCTGAGTTCTCGCGCGGCTACACTGCATCTTTTGAACTGAAGATCCCTGGCCGTAAACCCCGAACAGAGGTCTTCGAGCTTAGGTAGCGAGTCCTGGAGCGCTCCGGGGCAGACGGAGCCAAATGCGCCTTGTCACTGCAGCGATGCGTTGCACGGCAAAAGTTGTGACGAGACGAATGCAACAGCAATTGAAGCCCGATGCCAGGTCTGAGCAGATCTTGTCCGATCTTGTCCGCTTCAATTCGGATCAAGAGAATCGGACAGGGCAGAGAGCTCGTAATATCCACGGCCAGTTAAGATTCTGTGGTGCAACTCCTAGTCCTACTGTTGGGATGGTTGCGTTGCATGCAGGTTGAGTGATCTTCATTGACCATTTGCATCATGCCGCAAAAGGAGAGGCTCTAGAGGTGTGCGAGTCGCAGATGGCCGCACAGGATGAAGTCTCAGAGCAATGGAAGCTTGGGACCAGAGTCTGCCTCTCTACTCCCTCTTCAGGCATACATTGGTTCTCACTGATTTCTGCACAACTTCCCGTTGTTCCCACCTGTTCAGGCGAGGCACGCTCAGCAAACGTTCCACGGATGCATCTGGATGTTTCCGGTCGAAGCAGCAAGGTGTGTCGTCTCCCACTTGAGGTCAGCTTGACAGGTACCGTGCGGTTTGTCGGAACGACGCAGTTCGCCCCTGGAGACTGGATTGGAGTAGACCTGGACCGGCCGATTGGAAAGAATGATGGAAGCTTGATGCTTCACCTGCAAATCAGGGGCACGTGTGTTTGGCTCTGACGATTCACGGTTCGACTGCTCGTCAGGAATGGCGTCCGGTACTTCAGCTGCAAGAAGAAGCGGGGGATCTTCTGCAAGCCCACGGCTCTGATACTGCTGGTTGATCCCGAAGTCGGAACTCCCGTTTCTTGGCTGCGTTCTTCGCTTGCTGCCCTTGGCACCCCAAAAGCCTCCAACCTTGGCCGATGCTCAGGAAAAAAAGTCCGAAGACTCGGCCGAGAAGTCCCAGACGACCGAGTCGCCGGACGCTATCGAAGCCAGCAGTGGCTTAAGCGTTGCGCTCGACACGGACAGCGCTCCTGGCGAGGGTTCTCCCAATGCAGCCGGAAGCAAGCACACGGATCGAGCTGACGAGGCCTCTTCATGATCATGTGCAATTTATTGAGTTGTTACTCGCTGCTGGCAACCCAGAGGTTCTATCTGATGTTTCAAAGCCGTTGGTTGCCGATGAGCCCGCCACCGCCACCTGGCCTTACTGGGTTCTCAAGACTTGCTCCAAGGCCCCACGGCCCGAGGCATCTGTGCTGCCCGAGGCATCTGTGCTCGCTCCATTTTGTTAATTGTCTTTCATTTGCACATATCTGCGCTGAATTTTCTGCGTGTTCCAATTCCACGAGGACTTGGAACGCCTGGGCTGCAAACAGCCCGAAGATGCAGACTTTGTTGGTGGGGGCGATGAAGGTGGTGGCGAGAAAGAAGGCTTGCTTCGAAGCATTGTGGAACATTGCCTGCGGTTGATTTAGGTTCCTTGATTTCAGATCCCTGATCAGGATCCAGAGACCTCCGGTCGCCGTACATGCGAAAGTTAGCAGGCGCAGACCCCTGGGCCAGTGAGAGCAGCTGTGGGGGATCCATAGTTGTGGCAGAGGAGGCTCCTGCTGTTTTGCGGTAGAAGTCTGGAGTGTAAATGCTTGTCCCTGGTGGTTTCGAGCCATCCCTTTGCCAGGAGGACCCTGCTACCTCAAACGAAGCGGAGACAGCCTGGTTTGCCAAAGTCCAAGATCTGGCCAAGCGCGGCCTAAAGCTGGGGCATGTTTTGAGCTTCTACCAGAGCTTGGCAGAAGGCACCCTGTGCGGCGATGATGGGCGAAAACTGATGTTGCACTTTAACCCCAAGAAGCATACAACTCATGATGTCGTCCGTGAAGCCATCATCCCTGCGACTAAAGTCACGCCCTTCGGGAGCTGTGCATACTCGACTTTGGCAGAAGCAAACAAGCCTGTGCTGGCAACGACTATGGTCTCTCACCACTGGCGGAACTTGTTTTGCCACTTGGTTGCAGCCTTGATTGCGTTCGCCTTGGGGGAGACGAGCTATGCTGCTATAGTGGATTCATTGGAGGACGGTGACTTTGAAGGCTTGCGTCAGCGACTCGATCGTCGAGATGCTCTGCACATGACATTCTGGTTGTGCTTGTTCTGCGTCAACCAGCACGCGAGCATATGTGGTGGTCTACCCTCTGCGCCGGCACCATCTAGTCCAGAAGAGCATGTTAAGGCACTGGAGTATCATCATAGAGAGACGCATGATCCAGTTACCGGAGAGAAGTTCAATGTTTGCGATTGTGGTACCACCAAACACTGGAACAACTCGACACTCTGTGAAATGGTTCCTCGGATCTTTAGCAAGCAAGCATCTTTTGTCGCGGCAGGTTAGTTGCTTGTCGCGGGCTGTCGGGAGTTGGACTGAGGACAAGTTTGATGCCATGATGGCAGTGTTGGACAAGGAGGTGCCTGGCGCTATTCAACGGAAACTGAGTCATATCATCGTGGTTGACCAGGCTTTCGAAGTTTTCTCCCGCATCTGGGTCATGGCTGAGATCGCCAAGGGGCAAGAATTGGAATTGAACCAGGTCGCCATGCTGTTCCCGCCTCCAGAGAGAATGAAAACGGCCTCTCGCAGGAGCTTGGTGCCATCCAGTGCAGCAGCCGAGGTTGCACGTGTTCGGGAAACGTTGGACATCCGCAAGTGCAAAGCTAGTCGGCAAGAGGATGTTGATGCAATTCTGGCCTCCATTCCAGACGTGGACAAGTTTAACGAGCATCTGAAGACAGTGCTGTTCAACGAAAGGTCAGGCATTCTGGAGACATGGAGTGCAGAAAGGTGCGCTGGATTTTTTGATGTTATCGACCCGCTGAAGGAACTTGTGGAGCGAGAGCACTGGAGTGCACCACAGGTCATTATGCTCGGTCAGGAGAGCACTGGTAAGTCCACGCTGCTGGAAAGGCTAACAGGTCTGCCCATTTTCCCGAGGAATGCCGACCTTTGCACCCGTTCCCTCATTAAGGTGTGCTTGCGGAGGGGGCCCTCTCGAAAGTTGAGATTACTTGTGCAAGACATCCTGTCGCTACACTTCGAGGACGAAAACGGAACGGAAGTTGACTTCGATGAGCTGGGTGCTGCTGTGATGAAGGAAATGACACGGCAAGTTCGGCTTGAGGCTTTGAGGCAAGACATGCCGAACAAGGACCCTGGCTTTTATTCTGCCACAGTCAGCGACGCACCGCTGCAGCCGTCGGATGGGCTTTGCACAAAAAAGGCTTTGGTCATTGAGCTTAGCTCACCGAAGGCGCCCAATTTGGACGTCGTGGATTGCCCAGGTTTGGTTGCGGCTTCTGCCAGAGGTCGTCCAGCAGATGTTGCGCAGGAAACTGCGGGGCTGGTGAGAACGTTTGCCAAGAAGCATCGGAATTCCGCCCTGTTCGTAGTTGCTGTCAAGGCATCAGAGCAGCCGAACAACTCCTTGGCAATGCGTTTGGTGCAGGAGCTTGGGCTTGAAAGTCGAGCTTTGGGTGTGTTGACCATGACAGATGTGCTGACTGGGGACCTGACAGATGGAGAGACCTGCCTGCACAGCACATTCCTGAAGCATCATGGCCCTCGGCTCCTGCAGCTCTTGCAGGGAGCATCAGATGCAGGTGGTGGGGTGCCTCTTGCACTGGGCTACACGCTTACCGCTTTGAACGATGTTGGCGAAGATAAGGGGTGGTTGAGCCTGTCGCGGGTGGATGCAATGGCACAGTGGGAAGTAAGATACTTTAAGCAGCTTGCGAATCAATGGAGAGCAGCCGCTGGGGAGGATTTCAGCAGTTTGCTGCAAAGCAGAACCACCTGCAACAGTCTTTGGCGGCACATCAAGGATGCCGTGGATGACTTCGTCCGCAAGAATTGGTTGAGTGACACCATCAAACTGGCTCGCGAGCACGAGGCATTAACGAAGAGTCGCGAAGAGTCCCTGGGCCAGCCGAGGGCCATGGCTCCACACCACGTTGCCGAACTTCGCTTTCAGACGGACCTGCTTCCCGCTTCCCTTCGCGCTGTAGCCTCTTTTGAAGACGAGGGCCCCTTGATTCCAGAGATCTTTGCCAGGCGTTTTGAGGCGATCCTCGGAAGTGTGTTGGCGAAGCCTTGGCAGATCGGCGGTTTCTACCACAGTTTGGTACAGCGGCTGGAGCAAGACCTGTTGAGTGCAGTCCCGGAAGACATCGCCCTGGGGCCGCCCGAGGCGGGTACTTTTGACTGGCCGAAGCAGCTTGAGGTCTGCTTGCGCAAGGTCGAGCATGAGATGCTACGTGCTGTGCTTGACGTAAAGCAACATGTGCAAGCCAAGCTGGATGCCGTCCTGCAGGCAGATACCACACCGGAGCGCATTGGACGAATGAAGCTCGCGATAGAGTCTCTGAAGACTTTGCTGTGGCAAGACATGAAGATGTACCAGTGCCGGCCCGGGGAGGTACTATTCTCGACATTCCCGCTGAAAGGCATTCACGAAGCACTAGGCATTGTCGGTCAGCTGGAGACATGCCCGTTCGCTCGTGTAGAGCGCCTGACATCTGCCTTTAGCTTCTCGCTGAAGCTGGATTCGAAGCAGATTGTATCGCGCTGCAGTCTTCACTTTCATCGTTTCCTGGCAACTTTCTTCACGGAACTGCCAGCGCATGTGGTGAACGTGTGTAAGAAGCTGCCAGATGACCAGTGGGTTGAGGACTGCACAGAAGAGCGCTTGAAACTCTTGCGCCATTTGCAGAACCTGCGATTGGCCCAAGCTCGCCTGAAGGATGCATTTGGAGAGGAGCACTTTGAAGAAGCAGTGGAGGAAGTGACACGTCAAGATGACAGCTTGGCAGTGCCACGCAAGCAGACCGACGAAGACGCTTGTGTTGCCACGGCCGTGTCCCGGACCGCGGAGGAAGTGGCTGCTGCAGTTGCAACATGGAAAGAGACTCTGCATGAGCGTGCATGGGGCTTCTTCTCCTCCGAGGATGAGCTCAACTCAGTCTTGCAGCAGGTAGCCGCGAACACAGATGCAGGTACCGATTTTCGGGAAGGAGAGGCGGATGTTCTTTGGCGTGGTGAGTGCACTGGATCGGAGCCTGTTCTGTGGATACAGCGCGACGATGCACCTGCAACACAGACCTACGTAAACCGCGTACTGGCTGCTCTTTTCGTGGATGATGAATCTTTCGCCCAACTGTCGACACTGCCAAAAGAACCCTTCCGAATGACATGTGGCGATCAAGGATGCATTAATCTGAGGCATCTCTATGTGCCATAGTCGATGGTGAAATTTGCGGATCATGCCGCGGTTGCGCCACGGGCTCCTTCTCGTACATTGCGCCTTTACAGTACCTGGAAGAGGAGAGGCACAATTGGCCCTAGACCCTAGTATGCTTGAAACTTTGTGTTTTGGCAGTAACCCTCGCCCCACGAAGTCGCACTCTAAATTCTAGCTCTTAACTCCTTTAGCTTTACAATCCAGTCTGCTTTCTTGCCTCTGAGGATTTAGGGCTTAGGATTGTTCATAGTTCGGGTCTAGGTTCTAGACAACAAGCAGGAAGAACGGTGGCCATGCTTCACTTCGGCGGTAGGTGGCTTTGGCGGCTCTGTGGCTCCTGGAGTCCTTGTATCAGAAGTGCCACATTCCGATCGCGGGACTTGCTTTCCTTGAGGAACAAGGTCCAGCAGAGTACACATAGCTGCTTTGCAGAGAGGAGCATGAAGTACAGCTGTGGACGATTCGCATCGTGTGCATGCTGTCGCATCCTCGTAGACACGGATCGCGGTGGCCACGCTTTTATAAGTTCCTTCTCATCAGGGAGAAGTATGACAACCTGCGGTGCAGGGTCAACTGCTAGCTGTCGAGTTTTACCTGCTATCACTACACAGGCGAAGCTTGGATGAACATTAGTTTGTTCACTTTCTCTTCCGTGCTTAGCCTTAACCTTCACGATTTTTCGTTCTCTTGTCGTCTGGCTACGGGGATGTATCGCACGTTTTGCGTTCTTATGATTGCCATGCCAGCCGGCTGTTCAGACATGTTGCCTGGTGTGACCTAGGCCAGCAACCTGCAAATGGACGCAGCGCGTTGAAGCCGCGAAGCGCTACTGCAGCACAGTGTCATGTGTTTGAATGACCAAAGATACTTGGGTTCTCGATGGCCTGATGTTTCGCTTGTGATACTGCAACCAGTGCATCTACGGACAAGCAGCAGCTGCCTTCTGCTCTAATCTGGCTCAAGACGCACGAGCTGGCGTGTCCATAGGACCGTTGACTTGTGCAAAGGAGATGGATGTGAGCAACTTGCTGGCAAATTGATCATGCACAATGCGCCTGCTTGCTAATCAGGCTGTTGCCAAACGTGCCTCAGATAGCCTCTCAGCCAGTACATCTGTGTTACAATAGTTTATGTGCATGTTCTGAGCGAAGCTGCAAACATCAAGGTCGTGAGACATAGTTGCGGCCTCAGCTGGGCTCAGCATCTTTATGTTAGTGGAACAACTGTCCATGCAAAGACCGTCTCGTCTAAAACGTTAGGTATGCTTCCAGGCAGCAGTGGTGGCAGAGGGTTTCGTGCTGCAAGGTTGTCCTTCGAGCCTTAGAGGTGGCGAGACGTTTTGCGGATCCGGAATGCCGAGCTTGTGCGGTTTACGTGCCTCATGAGTCTGAGAGCCTCGAGTCATCGAAGCCTTTGCACGCGTCCGTACGTCGGCTCTCTGCCACACTGCTGTTGCTTCGAGCTGTACCCTCCGAGCCTTCGTGACATCTTGAGGCAGCACCTGTCCTGTGCTCCTGAGTCTCCTGTGCATTATTGTATGTCTTCTTGTGAAAGCAGGTACTCACATATCATATATGAGTGGCTCTTGAGCTTCTGTCTTTGCAAATCTTAGCGTTTGTGGTGGCGGGCTCCGATACCTAGGCAGCAACGGCCAGCGGTGCGGGCCTTGGGCCCTCCGGGGCAATGTCGGGGACTCGGGCTTCGCTTGGCTTTTGAGATTTTCTCTTTTCCATGTGATCCTGCTATGAATTAGGTTCAATGCCTACCCTCAGCAGAGGACGGGTGTTGATGGGGTTCTCGCGGCCGGTCAAGCTTGGAATGTCACTGATGTGAGCTGCTTTTTGGGTTCGTGGGAGCTGCAAGAGGAGCTACCAACCACCAACCGTACATAGTCAAACGCGACGGTGTCAGCAGGATTCGTTCCCATAAGCAGCAGGATGGGTGCTTGCTGATTTTGCCGGCACTGCCGTACAGTGTCTTCTGTTCATTCCTTGAAGTGCCAAACTCCCTGCGAAGGCTTTGTAGGGATGGAAAGGGTAGGGATGGATCGGGATTTTCATCGAGTCGTGGAAAGGGTAGGGATGGATCGGGGTTTTCATCGAGTCGTGCGATGAGCTGGGTACCTTGGTGAGGACAAGCTGTTGGAAGTTTGTCGTCCCACTATGCCGCAGCGACCTCACACAGCAGATACACGCATTATCAAACCCGGGGATGAATGACTCTTTCTATCAGATTCTAGCAGACTCTGGATCTTGGAAACGCTTTGCATCGGGCTCAGTCCACTCAAGTTGGTTAACGCATCGTGGAAGGGGCGAGTAGCGCTGCAGGATGCAACTAGCTCGAAAATCTGCTGAAAGTCTGCCTTGCTAAGTTGCTGGCGGGCTTTGCCTGGTGCTGTACGCCTCTTTCGAGGCGTCCGAGGATGACAGGCCTGTCTGACGCAACTCCACATTGCTCTACCCCGGGTATTTGTAGGGTGTATGTTGGGGTTTTGGTGAGCGTAGATTTTTGGGTTTTCGCGTTGGCGTTGGTGTTGGTGTGGGTGTATGTAGCTGGTTTGTTTTTTGTGGGGACAGTGGTAAATAGATGCAAAGCAATGGCTTACATATTGAGTCACGTCAACATACAGTAGTTAGTGTGTTTCGGGATGAGAACCAGCATGCTTGAGCAATAACTATCCATCCCGCTTGAACGAAAGTCTTGTTGTGGAAAGCATCACTTTGCGCCTCGAGATAAGAACGCGCCCCGACTGAACTGCTTCACGTTCTTGCTGTAGGCTTCTTCCTGCCACTGTCTGAGGTGCATGCTTGCTTTTTTCGTTCGTGTCAACGTTTTGTCTACGTACTTAGGAAGCATCCGCTGCTGCTTCGGGTGTGGGAAGCGGGTACATAAGCTGAAACAGCATAGTTGCAGATGCTTGCAAGGGCAAGCTAACCCGCAGAGGCCTCTATCGAGTGATGATCCTTCACTGAAGCGGATGCAGTCTATGGCCTACGGCTTGCAAGTGTCGCAAGTGTTCACCGTGTGACTCGGGGCGCCATCCATCGCAGCCGAGGCCTTTCCTGTCCTCGCAGACCTTCGAGATCGGATTGTGGACACGTCAAAAGCCAACAGGCCTCGGCGAAATCACGGATCTGTCCGAGACAAGATAGAGTCTGAAGGGACACAGGCAGCTTTGCATCACAAGCACAAGCATCCATCCGCCAGGGCTCCTTGCAAGATTTGCCATGCTGGCACAGTAGTCTTGAGTTTCCTTTGGAGTATCGTCCACGGATCTGTAGCCATGTATTTCCAACCTCAGCGCCAGGTGATGAAACTTCAACCGCGCTCCGGCCTCATCTCATCATCGTGTTGGCACATGCTGGGCGTACTTCTCGCCATGAGACGGGAGACTTCCAAAGGCCCGAGATTTCCAGATCATCCGCAGCAGACTTGGGCTGTGTCTTGTACCGTACGACAGCATGTGGCTGAAACCTCTTGCGTCGAGGAAGAGGTGGAGCGTCTGAGGCAGCAGCTGCTTCTAGAAAGAAGCAGGACAGCTGAATCCCAAGAAGGTTGCTCTCGCTCACAGGAAAGTTTGTGCTGGCAGGATCGCGGAGCAAAGTGCGGAAATCGCTCGGCTGCGCGGTGCATTCCTCAGATGTTTCTCAGAATCAGACAGCATGCGGCAGAATTTTGGCCTTGTCGCTCGAAGGCTCGGTGACTCCGCAGCCTGCAAAGACTGTGCAGGAAGCGGACGTTGTTCACTGCGGTATGGCTATGCCCATATGTGCCATAGCACTCGCCAGGATTTCGACCCGACGCTGCACAATGCTGCGGACACGAAGGAGCTAAGAAACAACTGCCTCAAAAGCCGTGTCATGGTGTCAAGAGGCATCTTTGCGGAATGAAGAATTCTTCTTGTCTTGTTTGGGGAAGTAAGATTATCAGGCTCAATCCTATATAAGCCTGGAATGCGTTGAAGCAGCAAAAAATAGGGGAAACATAGGCAGGAAAATAGAGCCAACAATTGGACATCGCCCTGATGCTACTTTCTATGTCTGTTTGATTTTATGTCTGATTTTTTCTATTTTGGTTTCTATTTTTCACCTATTTTGTTTCTTGTTTGCACCTATTCTATTTTTATTTTATCCTATTTTATTTCTATTTTTGAAATCTCCTGCCGGGACAGAATTTGCCTTATATAGGAAATCTATGTAAGGTAGACTCGGCCCTGTCAAGAATGGAAATAAGATAGAGAACAAATCAAATAACATAGGAAAAATTTAAGTTAAATAGAAAAAATTAGACACCGAAATAGAACGAGAAAAGAAAGTGGCGTTGAGCACCGGTTCCGTTCTTGTGCCATTTTCCTTCTGTTTTACTCCTATTTTGCATTCTATTTTGATTTCAAAAGTTTTTAACATATTCCAGGCTTGTCTATAGGAATTCAGCCTCACAAATGTAAGAGAGAGTCTATCTTTTCCGTGCGAAGGGGCTGTGCACATCGTGACGAAACCTTCGGCCTTGCATGAGTATTCTGTGCTTGCGAGTCTCTCGTCGGAGTATCTTGGCATACCTTGTGTCCCCTTGGAGGATTCCAAAAGGTGTTTTGCATTGGTGGAGCATTCTGGTGGCCGGAACTTCTGGTTCTGGCATCGGGGAGTTGAAGGAAGATGTTGAAGCATTTTTGTTCAGGATTTTCAGGGGTTGCAGCGCACGCTTGTTTGATAGTTTTGTTGGTGTTGCACTCTCCCACCCTCCCTGTTCGGGTGTGCGCTGGAATAGTGATCGCCGGGCCGTGTGGCAACCGTGGTTCCCAACCCCAGACGGAAGCGCCACCCAAAATGCTGCCTGATATCCCAAACCCGAATGCCCTCAGCCCCTCTAAATTTTAAGCCCGAAACTACCCTAAACCAGAGTACGTTAACAACCGAAGATTAAGATTTTTAAGGCTGGGAAAGGGTGACTGGACTGCTTTCCAATGTTTGAACTTATTTGTAGCATGCACGGGAACCCCT